GACACGAGAACTACAGGACATCGAGTCAAAGAAGGTGATACGGTGTGGTTGTGGAATCCGATTCCACGAAAAGGACTTTCTCCTAAACTGGAGTCACCTTAGGATGCTCCTTACATAGTCCTAAACAAGCTGAACGACGTCGTAGTTTTGATCCGTTAGTCACGGAGTTCTAATCTTAAAGTCGTTTCTTACAACAGGCTAGCCCCTTACTAAGGCCATAGTACATAGTTTCCAATATATATATATAATGTAAATAATATAAGACTGCGGTCCTATTTGTTTTTAAATTTGTAGGTTCATGCACTCAGTTATTAATTTAGTATTTGATCTATTGAAATTATTGTTTTAATATTATACTGATTTGCCTTAGTTGCAAGTATGGCTTCCTGTCCAGGGATTGCACTGCCCTGGATATGAAGTCCTTGGGAGTGGGGCAATGCTACGAATATTCTACATAGATGGATGAGTTTAGTGCAGTTATATATGAAATTGTGTTTTTCTGTTGAAGATAAGACTGTTCCTGAACAGCTTAAAAAATGGCCTGTCAAGAAAGCTTTTAAGTAAGTGAAAATAAGTGAAAGCGCTTCTGCGCATGCTTCACCCTCTCCTACTGCACCGAATAATTCTACTTTACAGTCAGATTTCTCTTTTGAAACCACAATGCTTAATTTGAACGATTTCTTCAACAAAATTTTGAAGTTTGCAATGATTTTTAAGAAAATGAAATAAAAAAGCACAGCTTGCTATTCAGTATAAATAAAAGATAAACTATGTGCAGTTTATTCAAGTCTTCGATGAATTGGAAATTTAATTCTCCATTTATTTGTACGATGACTGTTTTAATTACTATCGGGCAACGTAGATGGCGTCACATCTCAAGCGGGGCACATGTCTAGTATTTTTGTCATTAATTTTTTCTCTCTGGCCAGTCATGCTATAATGAGGTATTTCCTCCCTCTTTCCAGCATGCCTTCGGGATGTAACAGTAGGATACTCAGCATGTATTCATGAGGTCCAGGTTAGAGTCCCGGCGAAAGCATCGTTCATTTTCCACGCCTCCCACATTAAAAAATCCTAATGACTGTACAGTGTTGTGGTCCCCTTTTTATACCGGCTAATCCTCTTCAGTGACACGACTCATTGTCATTTTAGACATCTTTAATTCATTACAACCGAAAAACAGCGAGCTACATAAAATGCACGCTGGTCTCGGCATACAGCGGGAGTTGGAGTTGCTCTCAGTTGCTGTTGTTAGCCGTCACGTCAGCGTTAGTTCGTACTGAAATCTCTCCGGGTAGCTTTCTCTTTAGCATTGCACTGTGTTTAGCGTTCAGAGTAGTTCGCAGTGATTGTATTCTGTGATAAAGTGAAGAGTTGTACGACAATCTTTGTGGAAAGCTCCAGATCTCTGAAGTCTATCATTTGATAAAATAAATCTTATTAACCTATCATCGGAGCTGTGCGCATTCAGTCTATTACGAACCCGCACGTACGCAACAATATAAAGCGTTAGTATCAGTATTTTTGCTTGTTTCGGAAAGGTGTGCTATTTAAGCGTCGCCATTTGCATTGTTTACAATATGCAGATTTTGGACGCAATCAGTGAATGAGGGCCATGTGCTTTCGCTGTAAAGCCTCCTCAGCCGCTCGATATGAAGGGTAATTAAATGGTCGAAATATTATGCAATGTAATAATAATTAATAAATGATTTTTTTTTATTTAATATTAGTGGTAAGTGATGATTTATCTTTTGTTTTGGAAAAAAGATAACTTTTTTGACGACAGAGTTAAACGATATTTTATCTTGTATTTCTGAAAAATAGGATTTTTTTATGTGCCCTTGTAGTAATAAAGTACGTTATGTTATTGAAGTGTTAAACTATACGGATAAACTGGTTACGGTTTTCAAAAGATAAACCATTTTAAAAGGGAGACGAAAGTCTTAATATCGGAGCATTATGGTATATTTTTAGATTCAATTACTGAACATTCACTTAAAAAAGAATCTTTTTATATGAAAGTTTAACTATGCCTAATCAAGTTTTGAAAAGTAAAAGTAAAATTAAATATAGTAGTATCTTTATTCTTTATTAGTAGAGCTCCTATTACGCGTGATTTCGCATTACTCTAAGCGAAAAAAGTAAGCATAAAAACTTGTCTACTTCGTGAAAGTTTGCAGGAAATATTGTACCTAACATTCTGTCAGCATATTCTCAACGTATTTCTTACGCAGGAGTTCTAAATACCATCAAAAGAACACCTGTGCATATTGAGCAGTGGAAAGTTACACTTGTAGATTCTACGATATTTTAAATTAGCGGTCGTCAACCCTTACAACTTCACGAACCGCTACATATATAATTTTATATTTGGCGGACCATTAATATGAATTTTAAAAAAAAAACTTAAATAAGACCTTAAAAACAACATATTAATACGCAAAAACAATATTCAACTTTACAATACATGTAATTCTTATTTTCATTTGTTAACATACAATTTTCGAAACATTTGGTATTCAGCAGCATGCCTTTATGGAAATTCAGGCTACACCCTTGATTATGAGTAACAATTAAAATACTATTAACATCTCACTAATACACATATTTCATTCACATTGAAAAATTATATGAAAATTACAAAAATTCTACCTTCTTGTACATAAACTGGATCATAAAGCTTCGCATTTCCATATCAGTGAAAAATAACTTCACGAAAAGCAAGAACAAACCGGTAAACGCAAAGCAGTAGCAATGAACTAAAAGTGTTATGCCGTCAATTTTTAATTATTGTAAACATAATAATCATCGCTTACTCAGCAATTGCGCCATCGATCAATAGTTAGACAAAACAAAAACGGAAACTCCCAGTCATGCACTTGTAAGCATTACAGATGATTCTCATAAAATCCATAATGTTGCCTATTGACACGGAGAAAAAATGTGTTAGTAACGACTACAGTAGCATATGTTTGTAATTCAAAAGGAAAGCAAATTCCAGTTCGCGCTATTATTGATACAGCAGCATTCCATGGATGCCAACTCACTTTTAAATCGCTAGATACCCTGAAAGTCTCTATAGAAGAATTAGCGAGGTAGTAGCTAAAAATTTAAAAAGTATAATCCATATTCTATAATAGGTTTCGTTAATCGTCATTTTTAAACTGAATCTTCATAAAAATATAAATAATGTCCCAATTTTTCTGCATCGGAGCATCGAAACGTTTTCACGGACCGCTGTTTCAAATGATGTAAATTGAAACGCCTACCACGCAGCTTCCAGTAATAAGCAACAAGACTGAGATTAAATCGGCCGGACATATTGAAAGGTCAATAATCAATGCCGTTAAGTCATTTTTCACCATGCTTTTAGCGAAGCAAGACCAAGTTATCTATCAGAACTGTAGCAATAACTGAGCCGCACTACAAAAATATTGACGTTTGAAAGGCTTGCAAAAAGGCTCTATACAGGAGAATTGATTAAAAGGATATTTACCAGTCAGAGATCTGAAGAGACAGTACAGTTGTGTGTACTGCCAAAGAAGAGGGCGGAAATAGATTTCAAATAAAACTGTAGAAGAGAAATTGCTGTTGCAGTATTTGACCGAGTATTCTGTTTCCAGTCCTCTTCGACAAATCAAGTGATCCTTGATCACAATTTTTGGTGAAAATACCTGTTTACAATGTATGGCTTTAGAACATCTTCTGATCAGACGAGGCGCATTTTGCCTCAAGAGTAGTGAATACTCAGAGCTGTCACATATGCGGTGCTGTAAATCTCTGTATTGTGCATTAACTGCCTGTACATTCTGTTTTACATAATTATATAGTGTAGTTTCACTGATGATTTCATTATTGGCTCCTTTTACTTTGAGGGAAGCACTGAAGTCTTTGTAAGGTATTAAGAGTGGCCATTACTGCGAACTTCTCACGAGGAAGCCTTTTTTGTCTCACAAGAACGAGAAATTTTAGAGAATATCGTATTTATGCAAGATGGTGCAACATACCATATTCGCTGACAATTGAAAGAACCGTTTTATGCTGACTTTGGAGATCAAGAAGTTTTCCAAATGCCTGGCATCTGTGATTTCTGTTCGTAGGGACACCTGAATGATTTTGTCTGTGGAGGAAGTATACGAACTTACCTGAATTCAGTACAACATTTCTTGTGGAATTGCAGAAACACAATTGCTGCAGTTTTTCAAAACTATACTTCGAACTATTGTTGAACACGTTATAATGCGTTTTGAGCATGTTATTGGTGTAAATCGAATGCATATGGAAAAAATGTTGTAATTGAATAAAATTCTGTTTCCAGTTTTTGTTTCTTGTTTTTTATAAGCCGTCTTTTTCACCAGGTAGTAGAAATTGGAAGTATAATTTTTTATAACAGTTTCATTTTCCTCATGATCCATGTGATTATATATACCATGTTTGAACGATATTCATCAACCACAATGGAATCTAGATATGTCTGAGTAACGTTACTTTACTTACACAGTAAATTTGTGGAATTTACAGATTATAATAATCAAAACAAAGGAGAAATAATAAAATTCACATATCTCGTCAATGATACTTTCAGAAGAAAGTTTATATTTTAATTCTTAAATCCTCATGTAACAGGCATTCAGTAGATTTCAAAGCATAAATTAATTAAGAGTCATATATTGCATTGCATTTTGTATTTAATTTTCTAGCACCTTTGCAAAATTTAAACGCACCCTGTTCACTTACTTTGCGTAAAGCATCGTTTACGATTTTGTATTCTTATCGCGGTTTAAATGATGTTTATAAAACTGCTTTGCGCATTACCTTGATAAAATCGATAATCCAACATATCTGGTAATTCGACATTACCGATGAGCCGAACATGCCAGCTTATCGAGCTTTTACTTTATACATCATTACTGTGAATATTGGGCTTAAATTTTGTGCACCGCGTTACGTCTATTTAGTTTGATAAATTGATAGAATGAACTGAAAATTATAAAACTTACCTCTGTTCGCCTATCTTCCTGAGTTACAGTTTCAAATCTGGCACGAATTGGAAACATCTCTACTTGAGTGACGGGACCATAAGAGATAAATGCTGATAATATTGTAGGCGAAGATTCATCTGGTTGCCGTTCGTCCATTCTGCATTGAAACAAACAGTGAAATGGATCTTAGATTCCTGAAATTTTTTTAAGTGAATTAATAATATTTTTTTTTGTATAGATGGTGATTCTTACGGGTAGAAGGTTGTCTAATCAGTACTATGTTTCTGCCTAAAGAAACGATCTTAGTATAGCTATATTTTATGCTATTAATGAGATTAATTAATTAAAGACGTAATAATCTGATTAATTGATTACCTGTTTTTAGATTTAAACAAAATGTCTGCAAAGTTTGAGGTCTAAATTCACAGAAAATCCGAAGAAAGCACTTTGGAATTTTGTATAGATCTTTTTAGTTTTCAACAGACAGTCTTTGTAACAATGCTTGGCACGTCCGTGCAACTGCTTGATTCCTTTGTAGAACTCCAGTTTTCGAACTCTATTTAAGTCTCTGAATCTCTTTCATGCTATTAAAATAATGACTTCTGAGGTAAGACTTCATTGTCGCTCACCAGTAAACAACCATTCCATTGAACGTTTTTAACAAGCTGAATTTTTTTTTCTTCAAAAGTCTTTTTGAAGAAAAGAAAAAAAAAAAGTTTTCTCTTCAAAAGTCTGATTCTTAAATCTTTACAAAATATATTGTTCAACATTTGTCCTTCAGGAAAACTTATTATCTCTTTTTAATCGAATAAGGAGACTAGCATAGCGCTCATTCCGTATTTCTGAAATTGAAGATTCTCTGGCAGTTTTTCCTCCAACCAAAAAAGTTGGCTGCCTAGTCCCAAAATCGTAAGAAAAGCACCAAGTAGTCATTCATTACCAAGTCACTCATTACATTCGTGACAAAGGATGGGAAAGTAATCTGTTCCTACGAAGCTTCACTCTTTTCTACCACTGGACCCACCAGCGGTTGTTGCAAAACACTGATAATTCTATCCTGGGTTTGACTCTCGGCGAACAGGCTGGCTGCATGGGCGGTTTCGTGGTTTTCTCCATGTGTAATGTGTATACGAGCCAATTTCCCTTTTTCTTAGGCAGATAGCCCTCTAGCGCTTTGCTATAATCAAATACAAGTCAAACCTTCCTATCACTGCAAAACGTCTGTATTTATTTCGCAACACCACGTGACAAAGTCTGAAGCACAATTCTCAACACGTCGGAGCGCACAAACAGCGCTGTCCTCTTGCGTCATAACCCAAAGTTAACATACTAAGTCATAAGCTAACATGCTAAAGTTTTAACCAACGTTTCTCAAATATTTTCAGCCTTTCTCAAACTTTTTTCTTGTATAAATTTGAATGCCTTGTGGATCACCTTATTCTTGTTCCTTTCGAAAGCAATATTTTTGCAGGCATTACTACCAGCATTTTTATTTTTAAAATACAATTAATTAACATTCATTTCATTTTATATAGGTATTAAATAATTAAGTTAACAGAAGAAAACTTATATTTGTTTTTAATAGCTCAAGGCTATTAGTTTGGATAATCTTTATCTTATCAGCTAAAAATGAAATAAATGTTGTTATTCACGTTAATGGGATGGATGAGTCTACCGATTCTTGTTTAATTGTTCTATGTTTGGATGTGTGATAGTCAACAGCAGCCCAGATATGTTGATTTAAATCTCTCTTTTGTTGATAAGCCTAGGATAAATGTCAGTAAATTTTATAAAATGTGAGTCTCGGGAGAAAAGTGTTACACGATTGACATCTGTAATTTCCAAACTCTAGTATGGTATGCGAAGTTAATTTGAATTTTATTTTTTCTCTTTCTTGAAAATCTAGGAAGACCACTATCTTCGAGGAGTATAAACCGAGAAACGCTAACCTGGACGGTGAATTTCCATATTATCTCATTGAACAGAATTATTCCGACAGCGCTATTTTAATTAAGATAAGTAACTAAATCCAGTTACTCCGAATTTCTAACTTCCTTCTGAGTGAATATTGAGTCGGAGGCAATTTTCTTCCACACAGTTAGGAGCTGAAATTTGCCATTGAAACTGGTTCTGAGTGAAGGTATTTCTAGAAAAAAATAATCCGCTGAGTTTCGCGTTTGTCCGTCTGATAACCGCATGTATGCTTCATTCTCGTGTATCGAAGAAGTATCAGTCAGCATCTCTTACAGCAAAAGGTATGTCCTGCACAACCACAGACTTTGCTTTCAATGTAATCGGTAATGAGCGGGTTTACGAGTTCAAGAATTTACGGATGACTCTCCCGCCGATTTTTAAAAATGTCCCGCTTTTTAAAAAACATCTGCATTTCTTATTTTAAATGTACTGTAAAAATATATTATCTTTTATTTATTAATTATTATAGTGAATACAAAGAAATAAAAAAAAAAAAACTAAAATGCATGCAGAGTAAACTAAATGATTTACTCGGTGGTGTTCGATTATTGTCGTTACGTCTCGTCAAGAAATGCATTTGTCAACGGAGGAACAAGCTAGCATTAGATAAGGGCTATTTGCTTTCCACACGATAACTGACAATCAAGTTTCAAATCAATTGATTGTCGTCGCAAAGTTCAAAACATTTACGACAAAAATTTGACAAGGAGGAAAAAACCGAAGCAATTATTTATAATGTTTCCACAATATTCGTTTTCACAATTGGAAAAGAATTAAATTAAAACACATTATATCCATATATTAGATGCTTCTACTACAAAGATTTAAATTATTTCCCAGAATGTTTAGACCTTTTGATCAAAAACAGAAATTAAAATTAGAAATATAGATTTGTTTATTGCCGGGTGAAACTTCAGAAAATAATTTTGGTTTCAGTAAGTACTATTTAAAAAGAGTAATTGAACAATTAAAATTATCGCCTATGTGAGGATAACACTAACGCAAAATTTTTTGGAAAGCTAGAAGAGGCATCAATAACGTTTTTACGAAACTTAACGAACGTTTGAAACCAAAAAATTATTCGAGTGGTTGTGCAGCGCGCTTCTACACAATACTATTCAAAGCATCGACTCTTCCATGGATGTTGAAATATTCTTGCAAGATATTCGTATTTTTATATATATACTGTGCGTGTTGAAAGTTTGAAGGATCTTGTGAAAGCCGAAATGAATATAAAGAATTATTGATTACAAGCAAAACACTTGGTTTCTCTTTTTACCAGCTGCAAAAAATTTTTCAAAATACGACCATAAATCAATTTTTATCAGAAGATAACGTCCAAAATATTGCAGCTCTTTTTTGAAAATACACATTACATTTTCTTCAGTTCATCCACAACCAAGTTACATTATTTCACAACGTTGAAAATTATTGAGTGACAAATTTCAGTTACGGAAGTGTCAAATGAAATCAATAATTAAAGACAAAATTGCAAGAAAGAATGATAAGGATTACGTTCCTTTAGTATTCGAAAGGAAAACACTAGGTTGGAAGAAACAGTGCCTTTAAACGACCGATTTTCGAAAAAGTCAGAAATTTTTATAATACTGCTTGGAATATCTTGAAGAACGGAAGTTCAATTCGAGGACATTAAAAAATTTCATGGGTGACTTTTAAGAAAGGAAATTTTATGGGAATATGTGGAAAAATCTTTTTAATAGTATTAGTAAACCATTTTCCGAAAAAAATCTTTGCGAAAAATGATCTTTTTGATGAGTGTCATGGTAAAAAGAGACTCTTATACTGATGAAAAAAATTATTGTGGTTTCTACAACTTTGGAACCAGCAAAAAATGGACGGAGTTATTCCTTCATTTTAAAAAAAATATTTCTTATGAAGAATATTTGAAAATTGTGAACACGGCGCTTCCCTTCAGGAACAATGCAGCAACAGAAGTGTTTTTCTAGTATCAATAAATATGGACAATTATTAAAAAAACGCTGTTGAACATTAAAACTTTAAAATCTGTATTAAGCCAAAATTTAATTTGACCAATTTATGTGAGAATTTCACACATTTATTAATGATCCGAGTCTATTGCAAAGTATTCACTCGGATAAAAAATATGACCGCGAAAGGAAATCATAATTTTTTTAAATAAAAATATTAAATAAATTAAAAAACATAATATTCAAATTATTGTTTTTTACAAATATTTATATTTTACCAATAGTTAATAATTAATATATTTTTGTATACTTATAGACAAGTATATAATCGTATATAATAAAATAAATTTTTTTTAATTATTGGTCTGCTTTCATATCTAAATTATAATTTTCATTTCATTCCATTTGTCCTGGCTTTGTCTCAATGAAAATGTGGTCAGTTTAACCAGAGCTTAAACTGCGCCAGAGCCCACCAAAGCCAGGCACTACCAAGTTTTTTTTTTTTTTTTTTTAGCTAAATTGTCATTCTAAATGTTGGAGCCTTAAACGTGAGGGCATGTATTGAACCACATTTCTGTCATGTAGTTGTCCTCTTTATATGAAACTAAACCATAGTTTCAACAGAAAATTCTTTTTATTTTTTAACCCTTAAATATCGATTTTTTGCTTCTGAATGTACTATCTTTTCATAAGAAACAAACCTTTTAACCTTAAGATTGAGACTTTTATGGAGAGAAAAAGCCCCACGAACAAGTCAAAGGCTTTAGAAAGACTAATGAAAGGCAATCAATATCAAAGACTGTAGAAAATGCAATGCACTTATGTGAGCATGTAAATTTTTCGTTCCAAAAAGTATCTAGAAGTGTTCAGCCTGGTCATGCACGTTCAACGCTGACTTCCCAGGGAAAAAATGCACATGTAGAGTCTTGAGAAGATGACATTAAGTACGGGGACATGAACTGTTATTTGTACCGAACTTACGCTTGTTCTCATCTTCCAGATTAATCCTCAGATGCAGGGAGAATTTTTTATCCTTTTGCATTCTGCTAGACAGTTAGGAGCTGGAGATCGTTGTCAGAAAGTGTTGGACTCTTCTGTCTTTGTTTCCATACCTACACTTCTCCTTTAAAATTTCTTTCCATGCTGTTTTATTCTCATCAGTAGCGCTTTAACCGTGTTGCTTTTTTCCATTGGTATAATGGAAAAAGAATGGTCTGTTTTTTCTAGCACCCCCTGAAACAGTGCTTTATATTGTGTATTCAGGGATTAAA